TCACTATTTCTTCCCTCATAGAATAACTGAGGAAAAAGGAATAAAAGTCAAAAATGGTACAAAAAGGTTTTTTTCTTTTTCGATTCCTTTTTTCTTTTTCGATTTCCTTTTCTTTGTTTTTTTCTTTTTCGATTTCCTTTTTTTCTTTTTTTCGATTTCCTTTTCTTTGTTTTTTTCTTTTTTTTTCCTTTTTTTCTTTTTTCGATTTCCTTTTCTTTGTTTTTTTTCTTCCTTTCTTTTCTTTTTTTTTTTTTTGATTTCTTTTCCGATTTCTTTTTTTTCTTTTTTTCGATTTCCTTTTCTTTGTTTTTTTCGATTTTTTTCTTTTCTTTTCTTTTTTCTTTTCGATTTTTTTCTTTGTTTTTCTTTTTCGATTTCGTTTTCTTGTTTTCGCTGTCTTCCTTTTCTTTCTTTTTTTTTCTTCTTTTTCGATTTCCTTTTCTCTTACTTTTTTTCTTTTTCGTCTGCCTTTTCTTTCTTGTTTTTTCTTAGTTTTCCTTTTTTTCTTTTGCTGATGATTCTCGGGGTCGTTGCTCCGCCGTCACGAGGGGTCTTCATGCTGGCTTTTTTTTTCTTTCTCGATGTCCTTTTCTTTGTTTTTTCTTTTATCGATTTCCATTTCTTTTCTGTTTTTTCTTTTTCGATTCCTTTTTTTTCTCTTTTTTCGATTTCCATTTTTTCTTTTTTTCTTTTTCGTTTCCTTTGTTTTTCTTGTTTTTTCTTAGTTTTCCTTTTTTTTCTTTTGCTGATGATTCTCGGGGTCGTTGCTCCGCCGTCACGAGGGGTCTTCATGCTGGCTTTTTTTTCTTTCTCGATGTTCCTTTTCTTTGTTTTTTTTTATCGATTTCCTTTTTTCTTTGATTTTTTCTTTGTCGATTTCCTTTTTTTGTTTTTTTTTTTTTCTTTTTTCGATTTCCTTTTCTTTGTTTTTTTCTTTTTCCTTTTTTTCTTTTTCATTTCTTTTCTTTTTTTTTTTGATTTTTTTCTTTTTCTTTCTTTTTTCTTTTCGATTTCTTTCTTTGTTTTATTTCCTTTTATTTTTTCGCTGTCTTCCTTTTCTTTTTCTTTTTTTCTTCTTTTTCGATTTCCTTTTCTCTTACTTTTTTTTCTTCTTCGTCTGCCTTTTCTTTTCTTGTTTTTTCTTAGTTTTCCTTTTTTTTCTTTTGCTGATGATTCTCGGGGTCGTTGCTCCGCCGTCACGAGGGGTCTTCATGCTGGCTTTTTTTTTCTTTCTCGATTTCCTTTTCTTTGTTTTTTCTTTTATCGATTTCCTTTTTTCTTTTTTTTTTTCTTTTTTTTTCGATTCCTTTTTTTTCTTTTATCGATTTCCTTTTCTTTTTTTTTTTTCTTTTTTCTTTTTTCCTTTTTTTTCTTTTTCGTTTTTTTTTTTTCTTTTCGATTCTTTTTTTTTCTTTTTTCGATTCCTTTTCTTGTTTTTTCTTTTTCGATTCCTTTTTTTCTTATTTCCTTTTCTCTTACTTTTTTTTCTTTTTCGTTCTGCCTTTTTCTTTCTTGTTTTTTCTTAGTTTTCCTTTTTTCTTTTTGTTGATGATTCTCGGGGGTCGTTGCTCCGCCGTCACGAGGGGTCTTCATGCTGGCTTTTTTTTCTTTCTCGATGTCCTTTTCTTTGTTTTTTTTTTTCGATTTCTTTTCTTTGTTTTTTTCTTTTTATCGATTTCCTTTTTGTTTTTTTCTTTTTCGATTTCTTGATTTCCTTTTTGTTTTTTTCTTTTTCGATTCCATTTTTTTTTCTTTTTTCGATTTCCTTTTCTTTGTTTTTTTCTTTCTTTTTCCTTTTTCTTTTTTCGATTTCCTTTCTTTGTTTTTTTCTTTTTTTTTTCCTTTTTTTTTTTTTTTTCGATTTCCTTTTCTCTTACTTTTTTTTCTTCTTCGTCTGCCTTTTCTTTTCTTGTTTTTTCTTAGTTTTTCCTTTTTTCTTTTTGTTGATGATTCTCGGGGTCGTTGCTCCGCCGTCACGAGGGTCTTCATGCTGGCTTTTTTTTTCTTTCTCGATGTCCTTTTCTTTTTTTTTTCTTTTATCGATTTCCTTTTTTTTATTTCCTTTTCTTTGTTTTTTTCTTTCGATTCCTTTTTTTCTTTTTCGATTTCCTTTTCTTTGTTTTTTTTCTTTTTCGATTTCTTTTTTTTCTTTTCGATTTCCTTTTCTCTTACTTTTTTTTTCTTTTTCGTTCTGCCTTTTCTTTTCTTGTTTTTCTTAGTTTTCCTTTTTTCTTTTGTTGATGATTCTCGGGGTCGTTGCTCCGCCGTCACGAGGGGTCTTCATGCTGGCTTTTTTTTCTTTCTCTCGATCCTTTTCTTTGTTTTTTCTTTATCGATTTCCTTTTCTTTGTTTTTTCTTTTATCGATTTCCTTTTTTGTTTTTTTCTTTTTCGATTTCCTTTTCTTTGTTTTTTCTTTTTCGATTCCTTTTCTTTGTTTTTTTCTTTTTCGATTTCCTTTTTTTTTTTTTTCGATTTCCTTTTCTTTTTTTTTCTTTTATTCCTTTTCTTTTGTTTTTTTTTTTCGATTCCTTTTCTTTGTTTTTTCTTTTTCGTTTTCTTTGTTTTTCTTTTTCGATTTCGTTTTCTTGTTTTTTCCGATTTCCTTTTCTTTTTTTTTTTTTTTCTTTTTCGATTTCTTTCTTTTTTTCTTTTTTCGATTTCGTTTTCTTGTTTTCGCTGTCTTCCTTTTCTTTTTCTTTTTTTCTTCTTTTTCGATTTCCTTTTCTCTTACTTTTTTTTCTTCTTCGTCTGCCTTTTCTTTTCTTGTTTTTTCTTAGTTTTCCTTTTTTTTCTTTTGCTGATGATTCTCGGGGTCGTTGCTCCGCCGTCACGAGGGGTCTTCATGCTGGCTTTTTTTTTTCTTTCCGATGTTCCTTTTCTTTGTTTTTTCTTTTATCGATTTCCTTTTCTTTGTTTTTTCTTTTATCGATTTTCCTTTTCTTTGTTTTTTTTTTTTCTTTTTCCCTTTTCTCTTACTTTTTTTTTCTTTTTGTTGATTTTTTTCGGGGTTCGTTGCTCCGCCGTCACGAGGGGTCTTCATGCTGGCTTTTTTTTTTTTTTTCTTTTCTTCGATTTCCTTTTTCTTTGTTTTTCTTCTTTTTTTCTTTGTTTTTTCTTTTTCGATTCCTTTTTTTGTTTTTTCTTTTATCGATTTCCTTTTTCTTTCCTTTTCTTTGTTTTTTTCGATTTCCTTTTTTTTCTTTTTCGATTTCCTTTCCTTTTTTCGATTTTCCTTTTATTTTTTTTGTCTTTGCTTTCTCGATTTCCATTTCTTTTCTTGTGTTTTTCTGTTTCGATTCTTTTTTTTCTATTTTCTCTGTTCGATTTCCTTTTCTCTACTTTTTTTCTTTTCGTCTGCTTTTATTTTCTTCTTTTTTTCTTTTTTTTTTTTTTTTTTTGCTAACCTTCCTTGTCTTTTTCCTTCTTTTTTTCTTTTTTCTTTTGCTTTTATTCTTTTCTTCATGAGTATTATTCTGTTAGGTTTGGTGATACTAAAATATATATCGTATTTTTCTCTCTTTTTTTCATTCTTTTTTTTTCTTACCTTTCTTTATTGTTACCTTACAAAAGGCTAGACTTCCTGACCTGCGTTATACAGCAAGATTTTTCTTTATACAATTTTTTCATACAAGATTTATTTAATAAAAGATTTTTTCATACAAGATTTATTTATGATTATACAAGATTTTTCCATACAAGATTTATTTATATAATTTTTTTCCATTACAAGATTTATTTATAAAATATACAAGATTTATTTTAAAGATTTTTTTATACAAGATTTTTTTTTCCATACAAGATTTATTTATAAAAGATTTTTATACGTTTTTTTAATCCAAAAAGATGAATGAATAGATGAATAAAAATAAATGAATAAATGAAAAAAAGAATAAAAGTAAAAGAGATGAGCTTCTCCGGGGTCAAGCAAGGTCACTGAGGCACTGAGCGAAACGACCTTCGTGGATGACTCTCGGGGTCGTTGCTCCGCCGGCAGTGACCAGGCGCTTGCAAGGCCCCGGGGGTGTCATGGCCTGGGGGGGAGGGTGGGGGTAGTGGCGTGGGATCCGTCCCCGGGTTGGGTTGGGGTCATGGGGGGGGGGGTCTTCGTGCTGGCTTTTTTTTTTTTTTTTTTTTTTTTTTTTTTTTTTTTTTTTTTTTTTCTTTTTTCTTTTTCGATTTCCTTTTCTTTTTTTTTTCTTTTTCGAATCGTCCCCGGGTTGGGTTGGGGTCATGGGGGATCTTCGTGCTGTTTTTTTTTTTCTTTTTCTTTCTTTCTTTTTTTGTTTTTTGCTTTTTTTTTCTTTCTTTTTCGATTTCTTTTTCTTTTCTTTTTTTTTTTCTTTTTCGATTTCCTTTTATTTTGTTTTTTTTTTTTTCATTTCCATTTCTTTTCTTTTTTTTCTTTTTCGATTCTTTTTTTCCTTTTTTTCGATTTCCTTTTCTTTGTTTTTTCTTTTTCTATTTCCTTTTTTTATTTTCTTTTTCGTCTGCTTTTATTTTCTTTTTTTCTTTTTCTTTCCTTTTTTTGCTAGCCTTCCTTGTCTTTTCCTTTTCTTTTCTTTTTCTTTTTTCTTTTGCTTTTATTATTTTTCTTTCATGAGTATTATTCTGTTAGGTTTGGTGATACTAATCTATATATCGTATTTTTCTCTCTTTTTTTCATTCTTTTTTTTCTTACCTTTTCTTTATTGTTACCTTACAAAAGGCTAGACTTCCTGACCTGCGTTATACAAGATTTTTCTTATACAATTTTTTTTCCATACAAGATTTATTTATAAAAGATTTTTTTTATACAATTTTTCTTCCATACAAGATCTTATTTTATAGAGATTTTTTATACAAGATTTTTTTTTATCCAAAAAAGATGAATAAATAGATGAATAAAATAAATGAATAAATGAAAAAAATAAATGAAAAATGAAAAATAAAAAAAAAAAAAAAAAGTAAAAGAGATGAGCTTCTCCGGGGTCAAGCAGGGTCACTGAGGCACTGAGCGAAACGACCTTCGTTGATGACTCTCGGGGTCGTTGCTCCGCCGGCAGTGACCAGGCGCTTGCAAGGCCCCGGGGTCGTCATGGCCTGGGGGGAGGGGGGTAGTGGCATGGGATCCGTCCCCGGGTTGGGTTGGGGTCATGGGGGGGGGGTCTTCGTGCTGGCTTTTTTTTTTTTTTTTTTTTTGACTTGTTTTTGTTTTGTTTTGTTTTGTTTTTCTTTTTCGATTTCCTTTTCTTTTCTTTTTTCCCTTTTTTTCTTTTTCGATTCGTCCCTGGGTTGGGTTGGGGTCATGGGGAGTCTTCGTGCTGGCTGTTTTTTTTTTTTTTTTTTTTACTTGTTTTTGCTTTTTCTTTTTTTTTCTTTTTCGATTTCCTTTTCTTTTTTTCTTTTTTTTCTTTTCGAATCGTCCCGGGTTGGGTTGGGGTCATGGGGGGGTCTTCATGCTGGCTTTTTTTTCTTTCTTTTTTTTTTGACTTGTTTTTGCTTTTTCTTTTTTTCTTTTTCGATATCCTTTTCTTTTGTTTTTTTTCTTTTTCGATTTCCTCTTCTTTTTTCCTTTTTTTCTTTTTTTGTGATTCTTCCTACTCTTTTCTGTTTATCTTTTTTATTATTGTCAAGTCGGGTGATGCTAATCAATTTACCGTAGACATTTTTTTTTTTCCTTTTTTTTTAGCTTACAAAATGCTGGACTTCTTGACATGCGTTACACAGCGAGATTTTTTATACAGCACGATATGCTTATACAATTCTTTATACATTTTGTTTTATTTTTCCTATGGAACAAGATTTTTTATACAAGATTTTTTTATTATACAACAAGACTTTTATACAAGATTTCTTTATTTCTTATACAAGATATCTTTAATTTCTTATACAGATTTCTTTAAGATTTCTCCATACACAAGATTTCTTATACAAGATTTCTTTTAAGATTTCTTATACAAGATTTCTTTAAGATTTCTTATACAAGATTTCTTTAAGATTTCTTATACAAGATTTCTTTAAGATTTCTTATACAATTTGTTTTGATTTCTTATACAATTTTTATACAAGATAGCTTTATACACATTTTTTTCTATCTTTACTTTAGTGCTTTTCTTTAGAGGTGATGTGCAGTTGAAAGGAAATGGCATACGGTCGCTGCATGCAAACTCATTGGGCATTCTGATCTCGGATATTTGGAAACGGATCTTTGTACAGGAAGGGATATGGGCGGCTTGGGGTATTTCCCGGACAAAGAGGGGAAATGTACAGAGAGTGAGAGAGGCTGGGAAGTCGTTCAAACACACATATCCACATGTTTATATACATACTTGCATCTGTTCATAAATATTTACGGATATCTGTCTAGCTATCTATCTGTCTATCTATACACACCACTACACACACACACCACACACATGTATATAATATTATATATATATATATATATATATATATATATATATATATATATATATATATTGTTTGTATGTATGTATGTATGTATGTTTTATACAGGTATTTATTTATATCTTTCTATCTGTCTTTCTAGCTGTCTATTTATAGATATATAAAACNAGAGAGGGATAAGGGGAGTTAAGGGAGTGGAAAAGGGGAGATGGGGTTGAAGGGAGAATGGAATAAGGGGAAGGAAGGAAAGGGAGAGTTGGTTGAGGGGAGGAGGGAAGGGAGAATGGAATGAGGTAGGAGGGGAAAGGGAGAGGAGGTTGGGGATGAGGGAAAGAGGGAAAAGGGTTGAGGGGAGAGGAAGAAGGGGTTGAAGGGAGAGGAGAAGGGATGGAGGGGAATCAGGGAGTTAAAACGAGAGGGGAGGGGGGAGGGTCCGTCAGAGGGAAGAGACAGAGGAGGGGAAAGCCTAGAGGGGTAGAAGGGGGAGGAGGAGCGAGTCTAGAGTGAAAGGGGAGAGGAAAGAAGAAGAAGGGAGAGAGCAAGGAGAGAGGAAAAATGAGTAAAATGAGAGAGCAAGGAGAGAGGAAAAGGAGAAGGGACCAAGGAGAGAGGAAAAGGAGGAAAACGAAGAGAGCAAGGAGAGAAGGTGAAGGGGGGAAGGGAGTCCTTCTACCCCCCCCCCCCCCCCCTCATTCCTACGGATATGTGTGGAAGTTTTCTCTATATTCTATTTTTAGAACTTTCTTCTTTCGGTGTTATATTGGAACGATCCAGATATACCTTTCCACTCCGTTACCTTTTATATAATGTGTGGTGTGGGTGTGTAAAATACACCACACACACACACACACACACACACACACACACACACACACACACACACACACACACACACACACACACACACACAACACACACAACCACAACACACACACACACACACACATATATATATAATAACATATACACATATACACACGTGTGTATGTGTATATATATATATATATATATATATATAATATATATATATATATATATATTATATTATATATAATCTCTGTATATGTAAATACGCATATACGCACGCACGCCTTCCTAAAGGACCCCGAGCCCGCATCCCGCCCGCGCCGCCCTCGCCTTCGGAGCCGACCAAGGAACATTTCCCTTTGCGCCGGCGGTCCCTGAGGCACGCGCGGAGGAGTTTGAATTTGGCGCGCTAAATGACCTTTCAGCGGGATCCCGGTCCGATGGATTTTCTATACTGGCTTTTTATCCGAGATGCGTTTTATCTCGGGATTTCTGCTGAGTTCGTATCGGGGAGGAGAGAGAGAGAGAGAGAGAGAGAGAGAGAGAGGGACTGTTCTTCCTGTTGTTATTGTTCTCGGTTCTCGGTGTGTTCTCGGTGGCGTGTTCTTGTTTTTTTTTTTTTTTTCGGTTTTCTTTTCTTGGTCTGTTTGGTTGTATGTTTGTATCTTCTATTTTTTCTTAATTTATTTTCTT